CCAGGCGTCTGCCCTACTGTGGCCCCAACAAGATCAATCACTTCTTCTGTGAAGTCCCAGCAGTCCTAAAGCTGGCCTGTGCAGACACCTCAGTAAATGACCGCGTAGACTTCATTCTCGGCTTCAGTGTCATCGTCATTCCATTTTCCCTCATCTTTGTCATTTACATCAACATCTTCATGGCCATCTTGAGGATTCGTTCCGTCCAGGGGCGGCTGAAGTCTTTCTCCACCTGTGCCTCTCACATCACTGTAGTCACCATGTTCTGCATGCCAGCCATGGTTATGTACATGAAGCCTGGCTCAGAGGCCTCACCAGATGAAGACAAGAAGCTGGCCCTGTTCTACAATGTCATCTCTGCTTTCCTCAACCCTATCATATATAGCCTTCGGAACAAGGACGTGAAGAGGGCTCTCCTCAAGGTGACAGGCTGGAGTAGGGCCCCAGAATGAGGCCATGGAAAGAAAGCTGAGAGACAGGGGAACAAGACTCATGATGCACAATCAATGCCCTAAACACTCATTCACTTGACCCAGCAGCACCAGTACACACTTCCCCTCAGCCCCAATCTTAACTCTACACAGGTCCTTGGGAGATAGCCAATGATTTGCCTGACAGACTGACACTATGAAATGCCTTCCAGGCACATCAGTCTTTTAGTTCTCTTTTGTTCCAGAGTCTCAATGGTTAACAAAAGGAGTATCTGAGCCATTAAAACCTTTTATTGAGACAAAGGAAATGGGCTTTGGGGTGTGCTCTGTGGCTGAATCTTGAGAAAGGTTCATCACTCTCTGGAAAACTCATACATTATATTAGGTTAGCTGGAGAGAAGGGCAAGGGTACTGACACGAAAGGATTCCTGGGAGGTGGGGAGAAGAAGAAATAAATGCCACTGCAGTAATTTACAAGAATTGTGTACTTGATTCAGAGGTGCAGATTTGAGACAAGTTGGGATGGCTTGAGACAGGTGGGATCTGGCCCCACTGACCTTCCCAGACTCATTTCAGGTAACTCTGTTCTTCCTTCTCTCACTCTGAGTAAACTGGACTCTGTCTTTGCCTCGAATGTGCCATACTCTTTCCATTGTTAAGGTTTCCACATATGCTATTCTTTCCCGTCTCACCCTTAACCCCACTCTGTTATGCTGTTAACTTCTCTTTGTCAGGTCTTGGCTTAAACTGCAGCTCCTCAAAGAAGACTTTCCTTGAGGTGGAAAGAAAATCAAGATATAAAATTGTATACATATAGTCAATCCAAGTTTATAAAATATGCATTCATTCATTTTTAAAAGCCAGAAAGCATATACTGTTGACTTTTGAATAATGGAGATGTTGGAGGCACTGATCTCTGTGCAGTCAAAAATCCATGCATAATTTTTCACTCCCCAAAAACTTAACTACTAATAGTCTACTTTTGACCGGAAGCCTAACTGATAATATAAAGTCAATTAACACACATTTTGTATGTTATATATTGTATTCTTACAATAAAGTAAGCCAGAGAAAAGAAAATTTTATTAAGAAAATTATAAGGGAAATGCATTTACAGAATTTATTGAAAAAAAAATCCAGGTATGAGTGGTCTTGTACAGTTCAACCTGTGTTGTTCATGGATCAACTGTATATTAACATGTTAATACTGGATATCTCTAGGTAGTAAGATAATAAGTGCTTCTTATTTTTTGGTCATACTTTACTCTCTAAAATTTCTACAATCAGCGTATATTGTCTTTATAGTAGAAAGAAATAAAGATTGCTTGAAAAATATTTTGTCGTCCTGTCAGAGAAAATAAAGTTAGCCATGATATTGGTATTATCCATTCATCCAACATTCATGATGTTAACTGTGTGTCAGGCCTAATGCTAGGTACTGTGGATGCAGGTATGAGTAATCTAAGTCCCAGTCTAGTAGGAGAAAGACAAGTACTAAGACAAGGTTGCTATAAGGTACTAAACATGATGCTGGAAACAATCTCTGAAGTAGTGACAAAGAGGTGGGTCTGGCTTCACAGATGAGGCCATACTTCTGCTGGGTGTTGGAAGCATGAGTAAAAATTTGATAATTGGAGAAAATGGAAAGGAGCAAGAGTTGAGGGATTCCAGATAGAGGAGGCAGAATGTTGAAAGCCTAGAGCCATGAGGGTTTTGGAGAATGAGCAGAGAGACTGGGACATAGGCCTAGGCAGAGGAGAGTAGATGTGACAGATAGGGTCTGGCATGTTGTGTTAAAGAACTTAGGTTCCCCTGCAACAACACACACACCCAGACAAGTATTTTGTAAGGATCCTTACCTGAAACTCTGGTGCAACAAAAAATTCTGTGATGAAAATATTCCTTGCCCAAATAAGCTCAGAAACATGTTACCCCTCTTCAAACTTACTTCACAGTGTACAACAGGAGGGTAAAGACTCTGAGAAGTCTAATAGTAATAAGCAAATAGATAAATAAACAATTAAAAACAAGGCAAATACCTGTGCTAATTCTATTTAACGCAATATTTCCCAAAATTGTTGGTTCACAGAACCCTTTCTTCCTGGAACACTTAGTAGCAAAAGAAACTAGTGTTTTCTAAAAAGGTACTGTGAGAAATGTTATGGTATGCATGGATGGATTTGAGGGGAGAAATACAGAAAAAGAAGTTACTAAAGTGTACCTCAGATGTCACCCCTCAGAGTTAACAATTCTTAATATCTTTGTGCATTGCTTTATGTCTGTATGCACCATTTGACATAATTGAGATGATATATAAATACTGTTCTACAGCCTTTCACCATGACCTATATGTTTCTTACACTGATATTTTCCATAATGTTATATCACTGTGTTTCAGTTTGTATATTTTCTTTTGACCTGATGTCTGGTTTATTAAATTTTCTATTCAATTGTGTTTAATCTGCTGTGAAATCCAAGAATAAATTCTTAATTTCAATTATTACATTTTTAGTTCTAAAATTTCAATGTTGTTCTTTGTTTTGTTTCCAAAGTCTCTGCAGAAATTTTCTACCTTATTCTTTAATCCCAGTTATTTTGAAGTCCATATCTGATAGTTCCAGTATCTAGATTCCCTGTAGGTCTATTTCTATTGCCTCTTTTTTCTCTTAATTTTGAATAAATTTTTATTTATTTTTTTGTTTGCCAGGTAATTTTTGATTGAGTTCCAGACACTGTGTATATAAAACTTGTAGAACTAATTCAAGGCTCTGGATGAAGCTATATTTCTTCAGAGTAGATTTACTTTTGCTTCTGGAAGTCTGTTTGAACAGTAGGAAATCACTTTACACTATCAAGGATTGAGCTAACTCAAAGCTTAGCTCTAGCCTTTGTATTTATTGGTATTTTTATGATTGACCTGAGGGTCCCAAATTGAAAGTCTGTGATGTTTGCCAGGGCTCTCCTTAGACTGCTGTAAATCCAATTTTTTCCTTTTTATTTCATGAGCTCAGCTTCTCAGTCTCTCAGTGTGGCCTACTTTTTTTTACAGAATATCACGAGTGTTTCACCATATCATGAAAATCTCTAAAAATCATTTGCATTAGAACATATGACCAACCATCCTCCTATTTTCTTTGTCCGCACCCCGCTCCTTGGTATTGGTATTATGATCATCTCTGCGCACAAATCATTAGCTGAATTTTTAATTTTTTGCAGATAGTGTTTTAGTCAATTTGGGATGTCATAACAGAATAAGATGCATTAGGTGGCCTAAGCAACAGAATTTTATTTCTCACAGTTCTGGAGTCTGGGAAGTCCAAGATCAAGGCACCAGGAGACCTAGTGACAGTACAATGCCTAGTTTGCAGATGTGGCTGTCTTCTTGTATCCTTAAAGGTTGGGATGGGGGTGGACAGAGAGAGAGGGGGTGGGGAGAGAGAGAGAGAAAAAGAGAGAGAGAGAGAGAGAGAGAGAGAGAGAGAGAGAGAGAGAGAGAGAGAATGAGAATTATCTCTCTTGTGTCTCTTCTTATAAGGTCACTAATCCCATTCATGAGGGTTCTATTCTCATGACCTAATGACCTCCTGGGTCCCACCTCCAGATATCACCGTGTCAGAAACTTAGGCTTCAACCTATGAATTGGGGGTGGGAGTGGACACAAGCGTGCAGTCCATAATAGATACATTCATAGAAGGAGAACATTTTCATTGTTTCTGTACTTAGGGCCAAATTTTTTTCCATAAAAGGGATTGTGACATAAAAAAGTGATCTCTTCTGTACTTTAAAAGGTCATTCTGAGGCACATGGAGAATAGATAGAAGAGACCAGTTAACAGGCAAATTTTATAGTCCAAACAAGAGACGAGGGTTGGAGAAGAAAATTCAGAGTTCAGAGTTAAGCCAGAGGTAGAGTGGGCTAGAGATGGTTGCATTTAACACAGCAAGAGACCTGTTTTCTACTCAGAGCTCCTAGAAATCTTCATATTAGGTAGTTCTAGTTCAGTGGAGAATAGAACAAACTTTCACTATCTCCCTAGAAATGCTTCATTAAGGGCACCTGAAAGCAACCTGTGCTGTGTTCTGGGCATCTCAGATATGCACCACTGGCACTCCAGGTACAAGGAGCTCCCACTGTGACATGCTAGTCCATGCGGTCATGGTTCCAAAACTTAATGGCCATCCTTCTAGGACTTTCCAGATTTCTTACAGTAATCATTATGATGTATATAATAATGATAATTAATATTATGGAGCTTATATCATATATCATGCTCTGTGCTAAGAGCTCTGTATACATTAACTTAAAATTCAATTCTCACAACAGCCTTATGAAGGAAATTGGATTAGTAGTCTCTGGGCTCTGATAACATTGCTAATGTGCAAAAACTGATGGAACTAAAGTGAAAATTGGGCAATTTCATAATCATAGTGGCAATTGTAATACTTGTCTCATAGTATTTGATAGAATAATTTGACAAAAATTGTAAAAATATAGACAATATGAACAACTATGTCAATCCTCTTGATTTAATTGATATTTATTAACCATTATAGATAATATGACATTGAACAGTCACTCTGGCAATGTGTAGGATGGGTTGGATGGAATAAAAACTAGAACAAGAAAGACCAGGGAAGAAGCTTTTGTACTCCTTCAGTGAAAATACTCATCTGGGTTGTTTCCCCCCTCAACCCCTTTCTGTCTTGGATTTTGTATAGTCCTCCTGTTGTTTAAATACAGTTGCTACTTAACATAGCCACCAAGGGAGCTCTATATTTGCAAAAAAATAAGACAGTATAAACTTTAATTTATCTTAAAATTTTACATTACAATTGACTATTATTGCATTTCCGCTTTTTTCAGCCTTCCTTGGTTCTCATTATCACCACATTACTTTGTTGTGACTCTAGATTCTGTTATGAGGTGGAGTACTTATTGAGAATTCACATTTAAAATAATAGATTCTCTGAATATTGGTGTCATTGAGCATCAGAACCTTAGATATTTGTGGTAAAGTGACC